AAGAAAAACCAGAAGAAAACAAAGAACCCAAATAAACAATGACCAGTCCACAATAGAGGAAATAATGAACTAGCTCATACATACTAAATAGACAGACATTTCTCTTTGGTCTTATTAAAGAAGAGTAGAGCATCATGACCTGTTCTTATTGCAAAACTGAAACATTATTTAGTGTCTCTTGTCCACTATATTGTATCATTCCCAAAGAGTGCTGTTTCTGCCATCCACCCATAGAAGATTTTCTTGAGCAATTGTTTTGACTTCCAGTACCAAAAAGATGAAACGTCTTTGTTAGTTTATAAACATTGAAGAAGTAGTATTCAAGTGACTATATTACCATTTAGACTGAATTAAGTAAAAGCAGTAAAAACATTGCAGTAAATTGAATGGGAATTATGTTTGGTGATTGGTAATTACAGATGGTCTTGATAAGCTGCTCGTAGAATTTCAGGGCTGGGGTTGTTCAAACAAGAATGAACTAAGCAAGGGTTAGTTAATAATTTTTCATTTAGTTTTGTCATTCTGGAAGCAGTTTCAAGTGTTTATATTGTTTCCTTTAGTTTCATTTAATGCTGAGCTAAAACTTCTCGAAATGTAAGCTCTACTATATGCTTTATTTCAAGAGAAATCAATGACAAGTTAAACTTTTAATCCTGGATTTCGCTAACTGCCTTGCAAACAACCAGCCCAGGAGTGTAAGATCAAGGAGAAGTTGGGGTGCAATTCACCACAGGAGATTTTTCCTTTGTTTCATGACCCTTAACAAAATTAGTAACATTTTTTTATATAGGCCATTAATTACTGAGAACATATTTTGGCTTTGTATGATTATTGTTAATATTATTACTGTTTATCTTCATCCATGTTATACTAGGTTTCTAGGAATTACTAGTAAAGAAGTTCCTTAAAAAATATGCACAAGAAAAAAAGAAAACACAATGCAAAGCAAAACAGGAATAGAGAAAGGCATGGTGTAGTTATCCCTTTAATTCTCAAGATCTGATCGTTAATTTTCCCCTCCAGCTTTAATACAATTCCTTGTAAATAAGCAAGGAGAATTTGGTGTTTGATCAAGGTAACAACTTCTACCTGATAAGTTTGAGTATTGTCATCACCTATTTGCTGGATAATGTATGGATATTTTAGGGAGAAGTTTCATGTTTATCACTTGTGGGAGGTAAAGGGTTAAGACTTCATGTATTTATCGATCTCTTAAGTGTAATTAGCAAAGTTCATTGTACCTTGCTGGATAATAGGGTTGAATTATCTGTGTTTCAGGTTATGGTGGAAGTATGTATGGAGGTTACAGTGGCATGTATGGAGGGGGAATGGGAGGTGAGTATAGAAAGGGTAAAGAAACATGTTAGAAATACAGTTTTACTGACTGACGTTCCACTGTAATGAAGTTGAGGAGGGAGGAAGATGCTCATTAATTTTGGTTTTTCAGGTGATAATGGTGTATAAATTAAAGGAAAGAGGAATAGATAGCATTCAGTTGCAAAGATCTATAATTAAAGAAATGTTTGTTAACTTTCTCCAAATGGCAAATACCAAAGAATGTAGGTAATGGCAAACAGTTCTGTTCACAGGGCAAACTTGCAAACAAAGCCAGAAAGGTATTCTAGACCAAAGTTTTCAATTTATTGGGGATCCACCTTATTTTTTTAAGCTGGGAATCCAATCAACTTTTTGCAAAAATCCACAATCCATAAATTTTTCAAGGCCAAATCTATTAATTTTCTACTTAAACCACTTCAGCATGAGAGTACATACTGAGGAAGGAAATCATTTTCATGGGTTTGTAAGTGATGACATTAATATTATGTTTGTAAGTCATATGTCTTCCTTTTCTGGAATGTGCAGGTTATGGAGGAATGTATGGAGGTGGTTATGGGGGTTATGGTGGATATGGATTTGGCATGAATCGTTATGGTAATGCCATGAACCAATCAGGAACAAGTTCTTTTGTAAGCCAGGCAGAAGAAAGTAGCCGAGCAGCTTTTCAGTCAATTGAATCTATTGTGCAGGCATTTGGATCTGTTGCCATGATGTTGGAATCAACTCACTTTGCTATGCATAACACATTTCATGCTGTTTTAAGCATGGCAGATCATTTCAGTAGACTACGGGCTCATCTAGTCAGCGTGCTTGGTGCATTTACTCTGTTCAAGGTCATAAGATATGTTTTTAGAAAGATCAAAGCTTTATTTGGTGTAAGCCAGGGTCTTGAAGAAGAACTTTGGAACAGCGCAGAAACTGCTGTTATATCTTCAAGTGAAAAGGGTGACTCCAGAAAGCCAAGATCATGGCCCATTTTGCTCTTCTTTGGAGTTGTGCTCGGTACACCACTGATTATATGGAAGTTACTACAGTCTCTACTTAATGACGAGAGTAAAACCAAAGACTGGAAGACAGGTACTGCTTATGCTTAGCTGACTTGGGCAGGGGATTTAGAAACAACATGATTTGATATCTTGTATTCCCATTACACCCCAAAACTACAGAGAGTAACTTTCAAAGTACTTTGGCAAATTAACCCCCAGTCTTCTGCTGACTTGGAGACCTAATTATTTCAAAAGTGAAACAGGGTTTAGCATTAGCCCAGTGTTAGCTTAGAAGCCACCTACTGTAGCTAATAACTGTTAACTACAAAGCATGAGATAGCTAGTTGCTTTGCTGCTTCTTCAAGAAAAGCTGTCAGTACCCTCACTCAAGTAAGGGTAGAGGAATAGAGTTCAGGATCTTTCCCATTAACAAACACCGTTACCTTACCTAGAATCACATCTTGACTTCACTTATCATTTTTTGGTCTATAATTTTCACCTTAAAGCTAGAAAACTTACCTCCACAAGTCCAACAGCGATTCTTTCATCCTTCTTTTTCCCTTTCACCTAAATATTTATGTGAGAAGTAATACGTAGTTCATTGATCACAGGAGAGGGAGACCATGTTATTGCCAGAGCAGAGTATGATTTTGATGGTGAAAATGATGAGGAGTTGTCATTCCGTGCTGGTGACATTCTTCGACTTGCTCCCAAGGGAAAGCAGCCACGCATTAGAGGTTGGCTCTTGGGTAGTCTTGATGGCAGCAGTGAGGGAATTGTACCTGCTAATTTTGTTAAGGTTTGTAGTCAGCTATTTCTTGTTATAAGTGTGCAGTGGGTTGCATTATTCTTGTTTTGTAGAGCAAACAAAGGAAAACACCATAAAGAGATGATAAGAATTAACAATACAAAAAGCAAACTGTTGGAAAGACAGAAAAACATGAAGTTCAAATGGAACTAGGCTAACCCTTCACACCCTAACATCAGTATGTATATTCTCCATACTGCTCTCTATACATTTCCAAAGAGGCTGACAAGGAGAATTTGTTTCACAATCAAGACCTTCTTTAGTTGGTGATCATCTCCTCTATTCTCGTGACTTTCATGTTTGATTAAGAGGTGATATTGTAAGGAGAAATTAGATGTTAGTCACTCTTAGGAGTCAAAGGGTTCAGAACTGTATCCAATGAATAGAGTGAGTCGCACAAGTTTTACTGGACCAATTGTAGATTGAAGTGACACAAAGCCAATACAAATCCAGTTAACTGTAAACAGCTGAATATGAAAACAGTCTGTGCAGAAATGAACACTACTAAAGCAGTAGTGAAAATTAGGCCTGAAAAAATTTAGGGCTGCACGGGATTTGAACCCATGACCTCTTTGATACCAGTGCAGTGTTCTACCTTATTTTCAGGTGTTATTTTCACTACTGCGTAAGTAGTGTTCATTATGGCAAGGATTGTTTTCATGTTCACTTCTTTATCTGCAGTTCACATTTATGATTTTCACGTATCCACAGTTATTTAACTGTTAAACACTTGTGTAAAAACTGCTCTATATAAACCTACTATGTCTCTTTTGTAAACAAACAGATTCTGGGTCTGCGTCGTGCAAAGAAGGAACTAAAAGACTCCCAGGAGGAGAAAACTGAAGAATCAGAGGCTTCTCAAGCAGATCAAAGTAGGACATTTGATGATAAAATGGATAATGAATATGATCAAATAGTAGAGAGGACAGATGGTAGTAGTTTCCTTCCATCTCAGGACTTGCTTACTGAAGATTCATTGAACGTAAGAACTCTTGTAGATGATGGCCTTTCAGACACTGATTTTCAAAATTTTGTTGAAGAACAAGTTTAGTGCCTTTAGTTTGATGCTTTGTCTTCATTAGATTTTTTCATTGATTCAAGTTGATTCCCAGAACTCTCTTCTGTGAAGATATTAGGATTAGGATTTTGCAGTAGCACCACCAAACCCACTCTGATGAGTTATTCACATGTTACTTATCCTTAAAGTGTCATTACTTTATCTGGTAATCATGAAGATCAACTCCCTGAAAAAACGGCCAACTGAAGTTCAGCTGTTGGCCAACAGTCAACGTACAGTCTGCAACTGTTGATTGACAGTGGACCAACTTTTGGCTGACAGTTATAAGCAAACTTGTTGGCTGACAGGCGGGTGACAGGTGGCCAACAGTTGGTATAAGGGAGCTGATCCTCACAATCATCCTATGCTTAAGCAATCAGCATAGACAGAGTTAATGAATGCTTAACAAAACATCTCTTTCCTGATTGGTCAATAACAAATACATAAATAAGTTATAGACTGCTATACAAGACTTCTGTCATGCACTCTCCCGAAAAAAAACAAAACAAAAACCAAAAAACAAGCTAGAAAGCTTTAAAAATGATTAGATATTTTTCAAACTTGGTTGGGCCTTTACAAATGTGGTCTGAAGTGACTAATTCAAATTCTCCTCTGCGATTCACAAGGAAAGGTAGGGCAGTGAGAAAGGAGAGTTACTTATTGGATCTTAGGAGTTAAAGGGTCAAAATATTCATTTTATAATGAACCAGGAGTTCCATTGTACGAGCCATTGTCTCTTCTGATTTTGTGAAGGAAAGTCTCCATGCAAATCTTCGACGTTATTTGTGTAAAAGTAATAATCACAATCAATAAACTTCATTACACAGAAGTACTTTGTGAAAGGTGTTAGTAGTCACGATGTTTTCAAATCTTCTTTTAGCAGTGTGACCGAATTACCTGGCTGGTTAGAGGACTTAAATAAAAGATGAATCGTAATTGGTCGGACGCACCAATAATGATTTATTTTATTTAATTGTGATCAGATTCCTTTGAGGGAAGGAACAACAACATTTACTTCGCTGGTAATATATGACATCGTAGCTCAGTTGGTTGCAGCGTCCATTTTGAATCAGGAAGGGAGGGGAGGAGCACAGAGTCGTTTTCCATTCAAGCCAGAATTTTTTCAGAGCTCTTTTCTATAATTTCTTTTGCAATTTATCTTGTAAAAGGAATAATTTTTCTATTTTTCTTTCTTGATTTTTTTTCTCTTTTGAAATCCCTGAACATTTCTTAAATGTAAAAGCTTCAGAAACAGAAAAGAAATGTAGCTTTTTTTACTGATATTATACCCAGTACTGGTTTTCCCGCGATTCCTCGCGGTCAAAGATGGCCCGCTAACCATCAGAATTGTAAATCTTTCCTCATTACCATTCATGATTTTCTCTCATTTGTGTGTGGTGCTGAAACTTTGTTCGGGTGTGGGAAGCTCAGCTACCGTTTAGGACTCTCAACTTCGTTTACAAAGTTCAAGATGGAAAGAAAAGTTCGAACGCTTTGGTTGAGGACACGAGCGTTGTCAAAATGGCCACAGCCTGAACCTACCGGTGGTAATTTAACAAATGGCGGCTAATTTTGTATCGACAGTACAACACATGACGACAAGATGGCGCCCAAAATGAAGGATCGGTGATTCATTGCTTTCGAAGGTAATCATGAACTGAGTTCTGTTTTAAAGAAAGATAGTTTATCTTGATAAGAATTATCTTGTGCTTCTTAAGAATTGCAGGAATTTTTCCTCGTTTTTATTTCCAACAAGGAAATAGCGAATGGCTTTGATATGTTGTTGTCCTCATTAAATACTCTCAAAGAACAAAGAGAACTTAAACATCATATTATTTTGTTCTATGGTTTGATTTATGCCCTGAAGAAAGCCTACGTTAAAATCATGAAAGCACGAAACAGATACAGAGAATTATTAAAGTTGAAATTAGTTTTATTCGACAGAAGGATATTCAGGCCATTTATATACAAGTTCTGCATTACTTAGTAAAGTGTTGTCTTAAAATAAACCTTTTGTTGTGATTTTACGGGGGGTTGTTCAAACTAAACATCGCTCTTGCTGTCTTGGTTGTGCTCAAAACACCAACATGTTCTATTTTAAATTGTGGACTTCTCTATAAGACTAACTCGACGACGAATTCTACGCATAAGGAAAAAAAAACAACACTATGATCTCTTACGTAAACGCAATCTTAACTCCTTCTGATTTCAAGAGATGTTTGCGACCGATTTCTCCATATTTTTTCGTAACAGTGGCATCAAGGTCTTGTATTAATTTCGGTAATGTGATTGAGTACCTTAGCATGAGAAAATAAAGGAACTTTTACAATCGAACTCATTTTGATTAACTGAAAAATCCAACGCTGAAAGAAGGCAGTTGTCGGCATGAATCACTAAATGTTTGGAACACATGCTTTCGATGAGTTCCGTGATTTGCTCACCTTTGTCACATTAACTCAGGAACGTAATCAGAGAAAAGCAAGAAATACGTTGATGTAAGATTTTGTTAACATAGCATTTATTTATTTATTTCAAAGTAGTAGCGTTACTTGTGTACCTTCGCTTATCTCTGAGAGGGAAAATTAATAGGCACTCCATTTCAATCTTTGGAAGGAAACTGATGTATCCGCTGGTGTTTCTAAATCAAATTTGGACTTACCTCGTACATTAGTCTTGTTTTGACTGAATTCTTTTGTAAGTTCGTTAGCTTGTAATTTTTATTTATCAATTTGTCTTCTTTCTATATCCCTGTCAAAAATTTTCCCACCAAAAAACTTAGAAAAATACGGGCGCCTTAAATATGCATGCGCCAGTTTAATTTTTTTTTATTCTGTAAGTAACACCTGGTTAAAAAGCGTAATTTTCCCGCCAAAAGACTTAGAAAAAATACAGGCGCTCAAAATACGCATGCGCCGTTTTTTTTAAAAAAGTGTGTTAAAGACTTTACTTCTCATATTTGTATATTGTTGTTATCAAATAAAATCAAACTCAACAATGTTCTTGTGTGATTTTTATTTTCCTTCTTAAATTATTTCATACAATCAATAAGTAATAAGTGTTTTGTCTTTTAATTCTTTAATCAGTTAAGTAATTTTCCATCAAAAAAAAATTCGTTGAAATATATACTAAGACTTTTGGCGGGAAAATTTGGATGAATTTGCACAGAGTTTCCCCTAGCAACATTTTCGACAAAAAATTGAAAATGGATTCCCTTAAATTTTTCCGCCAAAAAATATGAGAACATCACCTTGTGCCAAAAGTTTTAACGCAAATTATCAAAAGATCCTTTTTAGCAACAATTCTCTCCGACAAATTTTGTTGTCTGAATTTTTTTTTTTTTGCACAAGAGGATATCTACACATTACTACTACTTTAACAATAAGCAGCATGGCAAGCTAGTGTATTATAAATTGGCGTGTTTAAACGTCTCCTTATTCTAATTTAATTGACAAAATCCTAAAAGCTTGCAATGTTGCCTCTTACAAGATCTTTTTCAGCCGTCTAATTTATTTCTTTTCTTACACAGGACGAATTTAACGTAAACTGATTGATATTTGTAACCAAATTCTAAACTTAAGATGATCGTGAAATATTTTTCTCCTCTGGGACAAGTTTGCCGGTTTTTTTTCTTTTTGGTGGCAATGATTCAGACAATCAGATGATTGCTTGGCTCCAGGTATCTTTGCATAACATGAAAAGATTTTGCTCAAGTTATTTTTTGTTTTTCACAAATAAATTACCCGAACTTCCTTAAAGTCCTGTGTTACATTAAAAGAAGACTGAAAGAGGTCTTTGTACATAACATATAGTTAAATATAGTCAAAGAATAGTATAAAGTTTTAGTATTTTGCGAGCAATGGGATATTCAACGATTCAAGTTTGAAACGAGTAGTGCAGATCAAAAGACAAATACTTTTAAGTATTTAAAAGCCTAACAACCAACAAGCCAAAAAACTTTATTCTTCACGTTTTTCTCTCTTTGACTAACGGAAATATCCTAGGCATTTTTTGAAGCTGACAGTCACTGACAATTTTCGTAAGGAAACTTTCGCCCACTGCGATCAAACAACCATGAAAAATTTCCTTTTCGAAACAAACAAACCTTCGGTTACAATATTTATTACAGGCGGACCGGCCCAAACTGAACTTGGTTGCAGAAATTTGTTCACCAGAAACTTCTATACAAGACAAATAATGGAACACAGCTTTCGCATTTTTACATCACTGGAGGTTGACAGACAATTTTGTTCTCTCATCACTGAATTGCTGAGAGCAGAGGGTTTAAACTTTGAAGTTTCCTGGAGCAACAAGAAAACTTTTTTCGTTTTGTGATGCAATGTTTTCATACAAAATACCAGTTTCTTGCCTGTGTTCATGCCCAGACATGTACAAAGTTTCAATGATTTTTAAAGGTATCTTTTTTCTTGGAAATATATCAATTTTGTGGTTTGTATCACTCTTACTCAAAACTGTTGCTCGGAACATTCCTCCGAATCTTCTGAACCAGACATTTACGTTTTACATATTAAACTTCTAAAAGGATAAGAGAACGTTGGCAATTGGGTTTTCCGTAAGATTTTATTCCAAAACGGTCAAATTGTTCTTTTTTCCCCCTTTTTTGCAAATTGCTTCATATATGCTCCAATAAATTTCTGATGAGTTGTAAACTACTTACGATCGTCCCCAGTAGTCGCAACAGTCCTAACTTTTTGCAAGATGTCGATTTGTAGGCTGATTCGTCAAGAAATTTGTCGATATACGTTGGTTTTTGTCAACAGTCAATGGGAAACTGAAAAATGTCTTCACACGAGTCTTCACACGAGTCATGTCAGCGGCGGTATATGTATTGTTAACGTAGTATCATTTGGGCCGTGAGAGGTGAGTAAATAGCTATTTTTTTTGTCGCAAATGAAACAAAACTTCTGACAATTTTACAAGGTACGTTTGGTCGCCATTGTTCTCTTGCCCTTTGCAAAACGTTTACAAGGATTATGTGCGAATCTTTTATGGTGACACTGACCATTGTCTTGAGAAAATTCTGGCTAATTCACCAGTCCAAAAATCTAACATGTTTTCAAAATAAACAATTGTAGAAAACCAAATCAATAAAATATATGCTCACGACCAAATGTGGTGAGAATTTTCCCAGAGAGTTTTAACATAACAGGGTAATCGCTGCTCGTGTTTATATCTATTTTTGTCTTTAAAATATCATTGCGTTGGAGTGCCACACTAAAAAATTCCACCCACATGGGTGGCTGCCATCGCTTTAGGTAAATCTTTGAAGCGAAATTTCTACTCCTGCTCGACACCTATTTGTTTTTCACAATAGCCTATTGATAATACGACAAACTGTTAGCAGCCACCATTCACATTAGCACAATACAACAACTTTAAAGTTCTTATCTTTGTAGAGTTTCTTTTTCATGCATTGAATCCAGTTTGTCCTCTTGTACTTTCTTGTCTGTTGTCTTCTTCATTTTTTCAGTCATTCTGTCAATAGGAATAAGCAAAACAATATTTAGTTCGGTGGCAAATTGATAAAACTTCCGAGCAATCGTCAATGAGTATGAAAGAGGCAAGGTATGTCAGGCTTGAAGTTCAATGGAAGGATTGGAGACGCATCAACGATGTTCTCAGTTGCAACACGAAGTTTCGTTATCGAAAGGCTCATGCCACGATTCCTCTGCGCGTTTAGAGGTTCCTTTACCTCAAACTTCAAACGCACTCGCCTGCGTTCTTCTCGAGTCTTACCGCATGCTATTGCCGTAATTTTTTTCGAAACGTAACTTACTATGTGTAATTTCCTTCGAAAGGTAACACAGTATTTCTGTTAACCTAAGACTAAATTAGTTTCTTCTACTTTGGCATGAATACGAACGACTCGACTTACTCTAAGTCAGAGGCGCAACATGATGTGGACCGAAAGCGCACTCGCTCAT